CATCAGAGTCATGAACTGAAGAACTGATCCAGACAGAAACCAAATAAAAGCAAGTATGTGATCCTGAGACAGAAAGGAAAGGGTGACCCTCAGTGCGATGAACTGGCTCAGCTGGGTACAGGACCCTGGGAACAGTGGGCAAGGATTCAGCGAGTGACAAACAGACACGACAACTCAAGGCAGTTGTATTTGAGTGCCTTTTGCAAAAGCAAGGCATCAACTTATACACAATAGATTATTGCAAAGGGACATTTTCTTTGTTTATTCATGTGGTTACATTTCTACAATTATTCCAGGGAGGTAAGTGGGGCTGTTGAGAAAAGATTGTTCTCTAATAGCCTGCTGACAGACTGCAGTTGCTATTTCTTGTGGACGTGGTTTGGCACCAGTTGTAGTTTTAATCATTAAGCGGCTAGTTCTCATTGTGTTTTGTGCCTTACATTGGTTCTAATATTAACCTGTCTATTTTTCTTAGTTTTTCTTCTTGTATGAATTTTTAAACTATAGATCTTTACTATAATCTTTTTAGGAATTCTCAAAAGTAGTCCTAGGTAGGTTTATTAAAGCTAGTGACCTGATAGTTTTTATCCCATACTGCTTGCAATCCTTGTCAGTCTCCTGTCAGAAGGCTTCATAGAACCATAAAGGAATACTGAGCCTTTGCCGCACATAAATAGTATTATTCCAGCCATAAAGATAAGAGCAAAGAGAGTACAGCCAGGAATGCCAAGACCACTAGGGATGCAGCCTAATCCAGGAGGCATCCTTCCTTGAACTGCCGCCTCGGCCTGGTGATTTCTCACACAGGCTCCACTGGAGGAGGCATGACACCTCATGCCACTGGTAAAACTGAATGGGGTTTGCAGACTGGATCCAAGTTCAAGATCTATGCTGACTTCCCTGTTCTGACAGCCACACCGTGGGAAGGCAAGGGAGTCCTTGACTTTTGCAAAGGTGCACAAGCTGAAGCATGTTTGGATAACAGAATACAATGTTTGCTCATTACTGGCAGATGAGTCAGAGATTATACACACAGTATGTACATTCCGTGTGTGTGTGGCAAACACAATAAAAGTTAACAAGGGGGAGAACTGGCAGGGGCTATCCTGGGATCTTTAGTAGTGTTTTTGCCATTTCTATATAACTTTGAAACTAGTTAGAAAGAAAGAGTGTAATGGAATAAAAGTGTACACACCAGGACAAAACAAAAGCTTTCCAAAAGGAAAGCTTCACCTGCTGTGAGGCCCCTGTGAGGACTGAGCCTGCAGAACACAGCTCTGCAGCTGCCGCCTCTTCCGGCACAGGCGGCACAGGCCTGGGGACGTGCTTCTCACAAGTCACAAGGGGGCACTAGCAAGCCGCTGGACAGGACTTCCACAGAACTGTGCAACCCTTCCTTACCCTAAAGCACTCCTTAAACCTAAAGAAGGAAAGGCCTCCCTCTGGAACACGGGGGCTTCTTCCCTTCACAGTGGACAATGGTATGATGCACTCAGACACGGCCTCTGCTCCTTGTTCTTAGGATTGGATGTCAGAGCTTCTGTTAAGAGCCACTCCCTCTGTGACGGCTGGACATATGCTCTGGAGACTGGGCATGAATTGATGGGTGGCTACAATACAGAGGGGTGAGCCCTAGAGGAGGGCCTCAAGACATTGGTTGGTTGTGTGAATCAGACACACCTTTCCTCACTGTTTCCTAATCTGACCCCTGGCCTCCTGAGAGGCAAGGTTTCCAAACTCTAGAATCTATTCCTCTTGATTTATTTGGCCCTGTCATAAATCACTCCTTAAAATGAAGTTGCTCTCAAAAAAAAAAAAGTTGCTCTCATCACAGAGGTCATTGGCCACCTGCTCAAGACTCTATGGTATATATACTGAAAGGTCCTGTATATTGATTGAAGTGGAAATCAAGTGTCTGTTCTCTTTAGAACAGGAACTTTAAGTTCCGTTTTTGAGGGGCAGGAATTTGGCACAGCAGGTGGAATGCCCGTATCTCAAGTGCATGGATTTCAGTCCCAGGTTTGCTTCAATTCCAGTACCCTGTTAATGTGCACCCTGGAACGCAGTGATGACTGAAGTGTTTGGACTCTACCACCCACAGGAGGGACTCAGACTGAGTTCCTAGCTCTCTGCTTCATCTGTTGCAAGCATTTGGGGAGTGAACCATGAGACAGATTTTTGTTTCTTTCTGCCTTTCATATAAAATGAAACTATATAAATTTATTATATCAAGTGGAACTCAAGTATAGAATACATATTCGTTCACTGTTTTTATGTTTAGGGAAAAAAAGAGGTGACCACTCCTTTGCTTAAAATCCTTTAATTAGGCCCCAGCCTGATGGCTCAATGGCTAAATCCTCACCTTGCAAGCACAGAAATCCCATATGGATGCCAGTTCATGTCCTGGTTGCTCCCTGTTTCTATCCAGCTCCCTGTTTGTAGCGTGGAAACGCAGTGGAGGATGGCCTAAAGCCTTTGGGCCCCTGTGTCTATGTGGGACACCCAGAAGAAGCTCCTGGCTCCTAGCTTCATATCATCTCAGATCTGGCCATTGCAGCCATCTGGTGGGTGAACCAGCAGATGGAAGATTTTTCTGTCTCTCCTTCTCTCTGTAAAGCTACCTTTCCAGTACAAATTTTAAAAATCTTTAAAAGAAAAAAAAAAATACCATTCAGTTATACCACGAGTAGATCAAGTGAAATCCAATCTCCTTAACTGACATTTAAGTCCTTCTTAGGTAAGGCTCTGCAGAATTCTCTGGGTACATCTTCCATAGACAGGTTTTGTTATCTTAGGAATGCTGGGTTCCAGCGACGACAAACACTCTCTTCACTGTTTCTCTCTGTAGTTTTTTTTTTTTTTTAAAAGATTTATTTTTATTATTTTTTCATTGGAAAGGCGGATATACAGAGAAGAGAGACAGAGAGGAGGAGCTTCCGTCTGATGATTCACTCCCCAAGTGAGCGCAATGGTTGATGCTATGCCGATCCGAAGCCAGGAGCCTCTTCCGGGTCTCCCACATGGGTGCAGGGTCCCAAAGCTTTGGGCTGTCCTCCACTGCTTTCCCAGGCCACAGGCAGGGAGCTGGAAGGGAAGTGGGGCTGCTGGGATAGAACCGGCGCCCATATGGGATCCTGGGCGTGCAAGGCGAGGACCTTAACCACTGCGCCACCACGCTGGGCCCTCTCCCTGTAGTTCTTAAACACTGGCACACATCAGAATCACCTGGAGGGCTATTTAAACCAGATTCCTGGAGCTGGGGCTGTGCCATGGTAAGACTGTTCACAACACTGGCATCCCATTTCACGGTGCTAATTCCAGTCTTGGCTGCTCCACTTTCAATTTGGCTTCTTGCTAACACACCTGCACCTGGGAAAATCAGGGGAAGATGGCCTAAGTACTAGGTTACTATCACCTACATGAGAGAATCAATTGGAGTTCCTGGCTCCTGGCTTCAGTCAGGTCTAGCCTCAGTACTTGCAGACATTTGGGGAGTAAACCAGTAGTTAGAAGACTTCACTGTCTCTCCCTCTTTCTGTCTCTCCCTTTTTTTCTGGGCAACTGTCTTTCAAATAAATAAGTTTTTTTTTTTTTAAGATTTATTTAGTTTTTTGTTACAAAGTCAGATATACAGAGAGGAGGAGAGAGGGACAGAAATATCTTCCATGTGATGATTCACTCCCCAAGTGAGCGCAACGGCCGATGCTATGCCGATCCGAAGCGAGGAGCCCAGAACCTCCTCCAGGTCTCCCACACGCGTGCAGGGTCCCAAAGCTTTGGGCCGTCCTCAATTGCTTTCCCAGGCCACAAGCAGGGAGCTGGATGGGAAACGGGGCTGACAGGATTAGAACCAACACCCATATGGGTTCCTGGCGCGTTCAAGGTGAGAACTTTAGCCACTAGGCCACGCCGCCGGGCCCATAAATAAGTTTTTTTCAAAAGATTTGTTTATTTTTATTGCAAAGTCAGATAGACAGAGAGGAGGAGAGACAGAGAGGAAGATCTTCCGTCCAATGATTCACTCTCCAAGTGACCACAATGGCTGGTGCTGTGCCAATCTGAAACCAGGAGCCAGGAACTTCTTCCAAGTCTCCCATGCAGATGCAGGGTCCCAAGGCATTGGGCCATCCTCGACCGCTTTCCCAGGCCACAAGCAGGGAGCTGGATGGGAAGCGGGGCTGCTGGGATTAGATCTGGTGCCTATATGGGATCCTAGCACATTCAAGGCATGGACTTTAACCACCACGCTATCGTGCCAGGCCCACAAAGAAATAAGTCTTAAAAACAAACAAAAAAACACTACTAGGACTGGCTCTGTGGAATATCATGTTAAGCCTCTGCTTTTGGCTTCAACGTCCCATATGGGCACTGGTTCAAGCCCCGACTATTCCATTTCTGATCCAGCTCCCTGCCAATGGTCTAAGAAAGCAGTGGAAGATTGCACAAGTGCTTTGGCCCCTGCACCCACATAAGAGACCAGGAGGAAGCTCCATGCTCCTGGCTTCAGACTGGACAGCTCCAGCAATTGCAGCCATTTGTAGAATGAACCAGTGGATGAGAAGATCTGTCTTTCTTCTCTCTGTAACTCTGCCCTCCAAATAAAAATAACTCTTTAAAGTAAAACAAAAACAAACACCATATTTCTGGACATCCAGAGTTTTTGTGTGAGGTCTGTTCCAGGGTGACGTTAATGCTGCCATCCCTGGGCTGCTCTCTGACTGATCCTGCCTTACACTGACTATAAGTCAACTCTCTCACCTATGCTGGCACCTGAGCTGAGCAACCATGTTGGCCTGCTTCAATTCTGGCACCAAATGTCTCCTGCCACAGAAGTCCCTGAGTCCCAGGTCAGCGTGCATGGCGGCTACCCTCACTGTGTCAGACTCTCTTCCAGGTGGCTGCCAGTCTTTTCAGCAGCCAGGTTAGCAGGTGGTGCTGAGGAAGGGTTCCAACATGTGACTGAATTTCTGCTGGAATAAGAGGCATCAGTAAAGTCAGGCTCCTCCAAACATAATTTCTTTATTTTCTCCAGAGAAAAAAATTTAGTTGTCTACTCACTGTAAACATTTAATACAACTGGTAGGAGAATACACTGTGCGCCTCCACATGGTTGTCCTGTGTAGCTGGGTGAGTTTACAGGAGAAGCTGGGGCAATGCAGTGAGCACACGGGAGCATCTTACATCAAAGCAGGACTTGGGGTGACAGTCCCACAGGAGCCAGCACAGCTGATGTTTTATGACTTCCAAGGAGTACTGAAGACACCAAGGAGCCACGGACACTGGGAAGGACCAATGAGGTTTCTGCTCATTGTGGATCAGGCTAGGTCCTTTTCACTATCTGGGATGTCTCTTTCACTATCTGGGTCAGACGTGAGAAAGCTGATAGCGCCGCACCAGCCCATCTCGGCAGCATGTGTAGACTTGCTTCTCCCATGTGGCCACCTAGAACACAAGAGTTCAGCGTTCACAGGAAGCCTGGGATTCTCCCATTTCAAACAGCACAGACTTGTCACTGACCCCCACTATAAGGCAGACTGAGAAGCTTTACTGGTTCCAAAGCAAGAGAACTATATCCATTCACATGTATTTACAGGCTCAGGCTGAGGTCAGCGGTCACTCCTGCCCTACAGAACAGAGAAGCTAACTGGTCTCAGAGGAATGCAATCAGTTGGTTAGTGCTGTGCCTGGGCGGAAATGGTGCAAAATGGTGTAAAAAGGTCTGAATATGAACCCTTTTTTCCTGAGGAAGATTTCACCAATTTCTCAAAGAAATGCAAGAGTCACTAACAGCAGAAGGAGCACAAATTCTGGAACTAATTTAACCTCAGGTTTGCTGTCACGTAGTTGCATTATCTGGTGCAACTCTCTTTATCACTTTGGGCACCAGCCTCCTCACTGCTAAGATATGGACATTAATTCACAATACAGAATGCTACTCAGGGACTTTAAAAAATAAAGTACATATCTACATGAAAAGAATTCTAAGAAGTTAAGGAGGAAAAACAAATAAGTCACAGGGTAATACCTATGGGGTGTTCCTAATTATGTAAAATGTAAACACAAAAACTGTATTATTTTTTATATGAGTACAAAGATATAACTATGCAAATTATCCAAAAACAGTCTTGAAAGATTTTTGTAGAACTGGTATTGCTAGTTACTTCTAGAAAGAGGAGTGGAACTAAGAAAGGTCTTAAAACAGACTTTTAAGTCTATTTAATTCTTATTTTTATAGGTACATGCTAATTGTGTACCTTTCTAAAAGTTATAAGAATAAACAGGAATAATACTTGTTATTTCATGGAATTGGAACAAATACTAGACAAGGTAATGCTTGCAAGACATCCCGTACAATGTCTAATAAGTATTACCCTTTTTTCTCTTTCCTTTCTAATCAAATGAAGAAGTCAGTCTTGAGTTTAACTTAAACTAATTGTTAACATTTATAAGCTGCATTTACAAAGCTCTTATAGGCATTATTTCTCTCTTCACTCTACATTAAGAGTACAGATTGAGGAAGTAATTTTCCAAGTTTCTAGAGCCAGAAGGTGATGAAGCCATTTCTGACTCAACACCTTAATTTCCTTCCAACCCAGCATATTGCTTAATGCAATGTGAGCAGCCAGAATGACCACAGGATGGCCAGACTCAGTTCTTTCAAAGCTGTGGATCCCAGACAGCTGTACCTTATACACAGGGTCACAGTCCGCCCCAGTGAGTTCGATGACGTAGTCTAAATCTTGCTGAACAATGAAACAGCTTCCATCACCTAAAAGGCAAAGATAATTTAGACAACTAAAGATGTTGCAAAGACTCAAAAGAGTCATTATTTTATCTCCATACATTACCAGCCTAAATACACAGAAAAATAAGCCTTATTGTGTAGGCCAACTACGATGATCTCTGGTGATCTCCTAGGATGCTAAGGAGAATTTGAAGGCCAAGTACAACATCAGTGAGAACTAAGGGGACAAACTATGCAACTGCAGGCCTATATATTTATTTGCAAACATATTCAATAATGTTTTTATTATTTTAGAATTCATTTTTAAATTTTATTTTATTATTTTTTAAAGATTTATTTTATTTTTTACAAAGTCAGATATATAGAGAGGAGGAGAGACAGAGAGGAAGATCTTCCGTCCGATGATTCACTCCACAGGTGAGGGCAACGGCCGATGCTATGCCGATCCGAAGCCAGGATTCAGGAACCTCTTCCAGGTATCCCACACGGGTGCAGGGTCCCAAAGCTTTGGGCTGTCCTCGACTACTTTCCCAGGCCACAGGCAGGGAGCTGGATGGGAAGTGGAGCTGCTGGGGTTAGAACCGGAGCCCATATGGGATCCTGGTGCGTTCAAGGCAAGGACTTTTTAGCCGCTAGGCCACGCTGCCGGGCCCATTTTTTAATTCTTAAAATATGTTTTTTTGAAGATTACTTATTTGAAAGGCAGTGTTATAAAGAGAGAGAGAGGGAGAGGCAGAGATCTTTGACTCACTGGCTCACTCCCCAACAGTCACAATGGCCAGGCCTGAGCCAGTCCAAAGTCGGGAGCCAGGAGCTCTTTCTGGGTGTCCCAAGTAGGTGCAGGGGCCCAAGCACTTGGGTCATCCTCTAATTTCCCAGGAGCATTAGCAGGGAGCTGGATTGGAAGCAGAATAGCAGGAACTTGAACCAACACTACATTACTCCCAAGGGTCCTCTCTATCAGTTTTTATTAGACATGTGTATAAAGATTCACTTATTTGAAAAGCAGAGTGACACAGAGAGAGAGAAACAGATAGAATGTTCTATCTTCTGATATACTCCCAGCATGCCTGTAACAGCCAGGGTAGGGTCAGGGCTGAAGCCAAGAGCAAACATTTCATCATGGTTCCCAGTTGGGTACAGGAACCCAAACATTTAGGCCATCATCTGCTGCCTTCCCAGGTATATCTGCTGGATACTGGATGGGAAACACAGAGGAACCAGGAACCTGAGTGAGCCCCTGACTGGTATTTAGGCGTTCCAAGTGGTGACTTAACGTGCTGTGCCACAACGCTTGCTCCACTTGCTCTACTTATGTGGAATGAGCACCTCACTTCACACTGGGTATTGAGCAACACGCTGAGGAAACGATGAATACAATAGAAGCATTATTGTAAGGAGCCTGGATTACACAGAAACAGAGATGCATGGTGGTAAGAATTTTGTGATATGTACAATGTGTCAAAGACTCAAAAGGACCACACTTACAACTGTGTTTAGTGACTTGAACAACAGGAACATCTCTCTTAACTGGTACTAAGTATTAGACCCACCTTGGCTAGCTATGAATCCATCTCTGAAACTCAGCAAGGACAGAACTGGTGCACCTGACCTGTGGATGACCTGCACGGGAGTCCTAGAAGTCAGAGGGAGAGGGGCAGTTTTAGGGTTTTTCTTCCAAAATAATACTTGATCATCTTCAACATACAGTACCAACCACATGAAAGCAAACAGGACAAATAGGACCAAGTCACCCCAAATCACCTTGAAGTGAATCTAAACGCATTTCTGAACAGGACCTCAGTAACCAACACAATCTAGATTTTATTTAACATATTTTTATTGGAAAATTAGATATACAGAGAGGAGAGACACAGAGAAAGATCTTCTGCCTGCTGATTCACTCCCCAAGTGGCCCCAACAGCTGGAGCTAAGCTGATCCAAAACTAGGAGCCAGGAGCCTCCTCTGTGTCTCCCACATGGGTGTAGGGTTCCAAGACTTTGGGCTGTCTTTGACTGCTTTCTCAGGCCACAAGCAGGAGCTGGAAATGAAGTGGGGCCTTTGGAATTAGAACTGGCACCCTATGGGATCCTGGCATGTGTGATGCAATGACTTTAGCCACTAGGCTACCACACTGGGCTCAAAATCTAGATTTTTATGGGAGGCATGGTATGGCTGAAGATAAAGTTGCCAATAAGCTTTTCATCAAGGATAGAATTAAGATCAGGGGCCCAGAGCAACAGCCTAGCGGCTAAAGTCCTTGATTTAAATGCACTGGGATCTCATATGGGCACCAGTTCTAATCCTGGCAGCCCCGCTTCCCATTCAGCTCCCTGTTTGTGGCCTGGGAAGGCAGTCAAGGATGGTCCAAAGCCTTGGGATCCTGGACCTATGTGGGAGACCTGGAAGAGCTCCGAGCTCCTGGCTTCGGACTGGCTCAGATCCAGTAGTTGCAGCTACTTGGGGAGTGAATCAACGGATGGAAGCATCTTGATGTGAGTCATCCTAAGCTAGGCTAAGTCAATGTTAAAGTCAAGAAAAAATTCCACTCTGAAAAAATCTGCATCTTGCAAACAAATGGTGACTCACCTTGGGTTCCTTGCGTCCAGCTGATAAATGTTTCCATCTTGTGTCCCAGCCAACAGGGAGAAACCAGAGAGGAAAGTACAGCAGTTGAAGGCGTCTGAGCCATTGAAGAGGAAAATCTGGGAAAAAGCAGAAGGCAAAAATGCTATTTAAAGAATAATTTATTTTCAAGAATAGACACCAGGAAAGGGAAAATTTTTTGTTTTTACTGTTTTCAGAGATATTATTTTCTTTCTTCTTTTTAAAACACACCTGAATAATAAATAAAACACTCACACTAATGAGGGCGCACTCTTCAGATTTCAGGAATCTGAGGTTGGCTGAGGATTTGAGTAGTTTATATAATACCATATTCTGAGGTTGCAATTTCCAAACTCCTAACCTTCAAACACACTGACTCCTAAGATCGTCATGACCAAAACTTTTATCATAACCCTCCCTTTGAGAAATACTTGTTATTCCTACATTTAAGTTTTGCTTCAGGACAATTCCAAGCAGCTTTTTACCCCAAAGTATTTTCAAAGAAGAGAAAGTGCAATACAAAGAATCACAATTCCCTCCAAGTATCTGAAAAGAGTGATAATTAGATTTGTAATTATTCTCTATGATCTTATATCCTGCTAATGTTCTAAAAAGGAAAGAAAAAAAAAAGCCTCTAAATTTCCTTTAGAAACAAAAGGCAGCATAAAAACTAAGGCAAAATTCATTATGTCAAAGACATTTGGCATAGTGATCAAGATGGTGCTTGGGACACCACAGTCCCATATGCACACACATGATCTGAATTCATGTTCTGGTTCTGCTCCCAAGTTCAGCTTCCCATCAATGTGATTCCTGGGAGATAGCAGGTGATGGCTCAAGCAGGTGGGTCCCTGGCACCCATGGAGAAAACTGATTTGAGTTCTCGGCCCCTGGCTTCAGCCCTGCACAGCCCCAGCTGGCCACTGCGGGCATTTGGGGAAGGAAATCAGCAAAGGGAAACTCTGTCTCTCTTTCTCTTTTTACTTTCTGTCTCTTCCTGCCTCTCAAGCAGATGCATTGTTTTATTTTTTAATGGTGATGTTCCTGGTACAAATTATGAAAGCATCCTCAGACAATGGAGTGAGCAGCAAGAAAAACAAAAATATAAAACCTATGATCATGTACAAAACCTGGGGCTGGGGCAAGCCTATTAGGGGAACATCAGGGAATCACTTGCTAAGCTACTGTTCCCGTTGGTAAGCATGAAAGCTGGGACTAGGGCCCTAGTACGTCATGTCAGGCTGGACTGCAGTACTCCCTGGAAGAGCAAAATCTGGAGCTGGGAGTGGGCTTAGTAGGCAGACCCAGCTGGATAAGGCAATACCTATCGGCATATTGGTGGGCTGGGTCCAGGAGTGGGTTGGGCTGAACTAAGCTACAGCACCAATGGATCTATATAAGAGCTAGATGAGATGCTAGCTCAATGAGACTAGACTGCTGCACACACTGGCATTTGCAAGAACTAGGGCTGAGGGCAGGCCTAGTGGTGGTTATTAGAGGTCATCCAAACTAGACTGCAGTTCCTGCTGGTGTACATAAGGGCTGGGTTTGTAGCAGGTTGGGTTGGGCCAGGCTGAAGCATCATTTGGCAGGCAAATGACTGTTCCCCCATCCCCAGGTGCTGATGTTGTTTGGCAACAAGGAGCAGTCCCCTCCCCTTTCCCAACATCTCTGTGGATACAGGAGAAAAAGAAAAAATTGGAAAGATTTGTCCTTCTGTCCTTCCACCATACACTGACCATCCCACCCTAACTCGCAGCCCACATGGGTATATATCCTTCTCAACTATGTAAACAACATGAAGGAAAAAAAAAACATGGTCAAAACCGTATCATTAGAATTGTTTTGGATGTGGTGGGGAACTGAAAGAAAATTTTACAAATCTAATCTCAAGCAAGATCAGATTTAAAGAGTACAGTTTGCCCAGCAAAACCTTAGGGGATAAAGGAAGAAAATTCAGCTAATTCTTAAAGATTCTTCTAGAAAGTAGCTACAGAAGGTTAGATGAATCTATATCCTTCAGCAACCCTAAGTAACAACGGCCAGAAATCCAAGGGGAAAATGAGCTATTCATGAATTGGAAGCCATACCTCCCCTGCCTAAGTAATAACCCCCTTCCCAAGATGCACTCCTCCTCATTCAGGATTTGGGGAGGGTATCACGTAACCACTGCTCTCCAGGCAGTGGGTAGGGGTACTTCCCAAGAACACAAGATGAAAACAGAAATCTCTCTCCCACCTTTCCTCTCCTTGCCCCACTCTCTCTGACTTTGGCCTATGTGTGTCTGTGATTTCCTCACCTTTTAAAAAAACTTTAAAATATTCTATTCACTAATTGTAATTTAGAGCTCTGAATACATGAGTGTTTTACTCAGAATTTCTTCACATTACCTTAGAGTAGAAAGCCCCATAGGAAGAAATCTACAAACCTCATCATTTCGTAGAGGGTACAGAGGGGACCAGAGGGAAGTAAGGTCTTACCACATAACCCAGTGAGGTTTGACCCGGCATGCCCAGTTTAGTGATAGGAAATGTGCTCAGAAAGGCTAAGCAACCTACCCAACATCACAACCATGCAGCAGATGAGCTAGGATTGAAATGTTGTGCCCACTTCAAATCCTATGCTCCTCAGTCCTACACTATATTGCCCTTTACTCCTGCAGTGAACAGCAGGACAAAGTAGAAACATTTCCAAAACAGGTTTTCAAGAATCTTAGTGGCCCAGGTAGCCCTTGAATTCAGACTTCTTATAGGATCCACTTGCCTGCTGCCTGCTCTGTAGTCCCAAGCACTGAAGCGTCTTATCTTCCTGGGCCAACAGCAGCATCTTCGCCTCTGTTCCTACCTCTCGTTCACCTGCATAACAAATGCATTGTGTTAGTAACTGTGGGTCAGCTGACAGTGCCCCCAAACCACAAATTCCAATGGATGCTGACTGAATATCCTCTGTCCATGATTTATTTATTAAAACGATTGTGTTCCATATCTTACCATGGTATTTATACAACTGTATCTATCTGTACAACCCACAATCATACAATGAAAATAATGACTGAATATATGTAAGATACACTCCACAAACAAACTCAACTTAAAAAACACTGTAATGTAGTGAGATACAACATGAGGGGTTCAACATTGACAAAGATAGTCTCTGCCTCAAGGCTCTTAAAATTTGGAGGAAATGAAATTTTTCTAAATGTTTTACTGAGGGTTGACTGTGTTTCCAACACCACTATAGGGCTAAGTAATGGTAATGAGAGGCAAGGCCCTTACTCCTCATGGATTTCCATGGAAAGAGACTACAGGTAAATAAACAAGTAGGATGCTATCTGAGTCTAGTGGGTTCTAAAGAGCAAATAAAACAAGGAAAATACATCAAAGTGAGTAAGTGTGGGAGAGTGGGGAAAGGATAACTTTTTAAAATTTGAAACAAGAGAGAGTGGTACTCTCTGCTGCTTCACTCCCTGAGTGTCTGCAACAGACAGAGGTGTGAGCACAAAACTCAATCTGGGTCTCCCACATGGGTGGCAGAACCCACTGAGCCAACACCTTCAGCCTACCAGGGTGTACGCTAACAAAGTGCTGGAATTGAAAGCAAAGCCAGGAATTGGACAACAGCACTGACAGATGATGCAGGTGTCCTAAGCAGCATCTTCACTGCTGAGCCAAATGCCCACCTTCAAAGTGTAAACTTCAACTTTGAAATGGCTCCGTGGAGGACAGGGATTGTAGCACACTATAGTAAGCCAATGCTTGAGAAGCCAGTTTAGGTTACAGTTACAGCACTTTGAACTTAGCTTCCTGCTAATATGTCTGGAAAAGCAGTGGAAGTAACACAAGTACTTGGGCCTCTGCCACCCAGGGGAAACCTGGATGAAGCTCCAGGACTGCGGCTTTGGCCTGGAACAGCTCTGGCTGTTGTTGCAGGTAGTTGGAAAGCGAACAAGTGCCGAGAACATCTGTCACTCTACCTTTCAAACAAATAAATATTTAAATAACAAATCGAAACGTTCCACGGGTCACTTTTCAGCTAAGACGTAAATGGCAAACGGGCACCAGGCTTGTGAATAGATGTGTGAAGGGCATTCTAGACTAAGGGAAGAAGGTGGGGACTACTGTACTAGAAGAATAAACCAAAGGCTTGGGAAGAACAAGATCAGAAAGTAGGGCTTGGGACTAGTACAGTGGTGTAGCCAGCTAATGCTCCACCTGTGGCAAACCTCTTCCAATGTGGCCATTGATTCATATTCCTGCTCCTCTTCCATACCAGCTCCCTGCTAATGGCCTAGAGATCCTGCATCCATGTGGGAGGCCCAGAAGAGGCTCCTGGCTCCTGGCTTCAGATCAGCACAGCTTCAGCTGATATGGCTGCTTAATGTTTTACAGGTATTAGTTCCATCTTCTAGAATACACTATAGTCAAATACAATGACCATGACACAGGCCTCCTTGGTCAATTCCAAAGCAACAGCAACATAAGAGATAACAATAAACACTAATCTCACAGTGAAGACAGAATTGTATAAAACAGAAATACCAGCAGGAAAGGATGAGGGGAAAAACGACATAAACCCCAAGAAGGTTTTCTTAAACAAAACTGGTTCCTGTATCACGTATTGACTTACTGGGCACCTGCTCTGGGGAGCCGAGGTTTATGGAGTTGTCTGCAGCACCCACTGCCACTCCGTTGATGGAAGAACCGCAGTCTGCAAGGACTCCCAAGCAGGCAGAGCGCCCACAATCCCAAAGTCGCGCTGTTCCATCTCTAGAAGCAGATACCACATTCCTCCCCCGCTCAACAATAGCTGTATCCAAGATACCTAAAAAGAGAGGGGGAAAAACACCTGAAATGGAGGAAATAGTACAGGAAGTCCAAGTGAAGAGAGGATGGTGCTATACAAATGACTTCACCGAGGAGTGGGTGTCAGGAACAGCAGTTAAGGTGTGCTCAGGAGCCTAAAGCCATGTGCGTGACTGGGTTTAATTCCCAGCTCCACTCCCAATACCAGTTTCTGGCTTGAGTACACCATGGGAGGGAAGCAGGCACTGGCTCAAGCAGTTGGGTGTTCACCACAGACATAGGAAATCTGTATCATGTTCCCACCTTCAGCCCAGCCCAGGTCTTAAATGTGAGGAGTGAACCAACAGATTAGAGTTCTGTTTTTTCTCAAATAAAATCAAATAAATATTTTAAAATAGGGGGCTGTGGTTGTAGCACAGGTTAAGCTGCTAGTTACAGTATCTGCATCCATTTTAGAATGCCAGTTGGAGGCCTGGCTACTCTGCTTCCAATTCAGCTTCTTGCTAACAAGCCTAGAATGGCAGAAGTTGGCCCATGTACTTAGATCCCTGCCACCCAAATGAGAGACTCAGAATTCTTGGCTTCCAGGTCCAGTATGATGGCTCAATTGGCTAATCCTTCCCTCACAAGCACCAGGATCCCATGTGGGCACCAGTTATTGTCCCGGCTGCTCCACTTCCCATTCAACTCCATGCTTGTGGCCTGGGAAAACACTGGAAAATAGCCCAAAGGCTTGGTACCCTGCACCTCCATGGGAGAGACCCAGAAGAAACTTCAGGCATATGGTTTAGCTGGCTGTTTTGAGAGTGAACTGGTGGATGGAAGATCTTTTCTTCTCGCTATAAATGTGCATCTCCATTAAAAATAAACCAATTTTTAAAAAAGAAAAGAAAGGGCATGGCACAGTAGCCTAGGGGCTAAAGTTGTTGCCTTGCACACACTAGGATCTCATATGGGGACCAGTTTCTCTCCTGGTGGCCCCACTTCCTATCCTGTTCCCTGCCTGTGGCCTGGGAAAGCAGTCGAGGACGGCCCAAAGCCTTGTGAGCCTGCATCCATATGGGAGACCTGGAAGAGGTTTCTGGCTCCTGGCTTCAGATTGGCTCAGCTCTGGCCATTGTGGCCATTTGGGAAGTGAATCAGCTTATGGAAGATCTTTCTTTCTCTTCTTATCTTTGTAAATCTGTCTTTCCAATAAAAATAAGTAAGTCTTTAAAAAATATATCGTGTGCCCAGTGCCATAGTCTACTGGCTAAAGTCCTCACTTTGCATACCCAGGATTCCATATGGGCACCAGTTCATAAATGGGCTGCTCCACTTCCCATCCAGCTCCCTGCTGTGGCCTGGGAAAGAAATAGAGAATGGCCCAAAGCCTTAGAACCCTGCACCCGCATGGGAGATCCAGAAGAAGCTCCTGGCTCCCAGCTTCAAATTGGCTCAGGACCAACTGTTGTAGCTACTTGGGGAGTGAACCAGCTGATGGAAGATCTTCCTCTCTGTCTCTCCTTCTCTCTGCATATCTGACTTTCCAATAAAAAATCAATAAATCTTAAAATATATACATAAATATATTTATAATATATAATTATATATTTTATTAATATATATATATATGAGTAGTATAGACATTATTAACATGGTTCCTAATGAGGAAGCGATGTAAAAAACTATTTGGGGATAGTATTTATTTATTTATTTATTTAGTTTTTAATATCAAAACTTATAAAGAAAGAACATAATTTTATTATTTTTGATATTCAAATTAAAGAGAAATGTCTTCACATTTTTCCCCCAAAAATTCAACTAAGGGAAGATGTTCTCATTCTGTCTCTATAGATATTAACTGGTTATATGGCTAATCCATTCTGTAAATATGAATTGTGGCATAAATCTATGAGAATCGGTCAGTTGTATTTGAATCTCTGATGCCATCCATTTCCTGGATTTCACCATCATTTCAGCTCAATGTCTAATAATGACAAAATGCAGGTACCTTTTTCTCCCTCTTCTGTTACTCTCAGCACACAAATGGATTGCCTCTTGGTGAAGATTTTTTCCCTTATAAATTGTAGAAAATGACAATTTCAGTAAGACTGTTAGTTCTAGGTAGTAATTGTGACTGACTAGCAAACGAATTCTAGTCCTTGAAGAAACAACAGCTCATCTTAAATCATCAGTTGCCTGAATCACCCATGTGTGTGAATAACTAGTTTGGTTTTCCCTTTTCAGTCATTCACCACTGGGGCTCATCAGTGAAGCCTTTTGGAGAAGCCATCCTTCCTACCTCCTTTGTGACCTTTGAAGGTCACCACACAGTTAGCATCTTCTGCAGACCAGATCTTGAGCTGGGCATCCATTCCCCCACTCAGAACCACAAGGCCTGATGGGAAAAACCTGCAACAATTCACATCAAACACATGTCCTTCCAACACTCTCTGGAAAAACAAAAGAAAATTCCAAGCTAGTTCTCTTGTCCCTTGATGCCCTTTTCCCTCCCATATCTTTGGTTCCTTGTGACATGCCTAACCTACTACAATCACATGGTGGGTTTTAACACAAAGGATGTCCAAAAGCTATCTTAAGTTCATTTGTCTACCACATAGCACTGTAAGAGATGCTGGCTCGCTAGGATTTAGCTACAGCATTACAGAACTGAATTCCCTCACTCTCAGACATCCCTAAGACTAATGTTAAGAATAAGGAGCTGAGGAGGCTTGGTAACTTTTACTTATCTCTTCTTAAAATCTACACAGTGCAGGCTGAGTTACATATTCAGTCTAACAGCCCAGTCCCTTAGTCTTGGAAATCAATCATGGAAGGCTGTTTGGTCAAAGACCCCCACACTTGGCCATGTACTGCTCCAGCCCAACTCTAATCTAGAAAATCACTACGCTGGAGAATGGTTTTCCAATGCAGAAATGGGAGAACACATCAGCAGATGTACAGTGACCCTACATTTTTAGAATGGGTCACTCTTCCTTCCATGATCCAGTCATATGTAAGACCCTAAATAGCCAAATCCTTTACTCTGGATTCTCCATTGGAAGCCTGCCAGATCTTCATGTTTCCATCCGTACTAGAAGACACACCGAGGCCTCCTCCACTGGAAATGTCCAGGCATGTTATCTATTCCAAAGACAAAACAATCCATGTTAAAAATCATGAAATGTTCTCATTTCCGTGACATAGGTTATAAACCTCCCTGGTTCCACACTCCCAAAAGACATCTTCAAGCCCATGACTCTCAACACAAAGGACACACTGATGGGAAGGCTGGGTTACAGTCACCTACTGCCAACAAAGCTCAAGACATTACCTTTTACTTCTCCAAATAAGATGCTCCCTTAAAGATCTGCTGTCTCCTGCTTCAACTAGAACAGTTTCCATGCTCCCATTTTGTATTTACAGTTTCCCTCCGTCATTAATTTTTTAGTAGTAGCTCTCTTACTTCTTAGAAACCCACTTACAAAGAAAACAAAAGTTTTCACTACATATCTGAAGGATTCAGGAACAGCAGAAATACCTTCATATATCCTCCAAATATACCTGTGCACAAGGATGTAGATACAGATTTTTCAAACAGAGTTCTCAGATTCACTTTTGTAGTTTCATTATCGGTAATCTCTTCGTCATACATACCCTTTTTATTAAATGTCATTAAAAGAAAAACATCTAGTTGTAAGTATTTCAGAAATGTGGGATACATGCAGTCTGACACATTCCCAGCAACACTGACTTCCACATGGCTTACATTAAGGAAAAATAGACTTTGAACTTTATCTGATCTCCCAATTTTACTTTATATGTCAATTAAACCATAATGAAGAGATTAGGCAAGAACAACCAGAACATTTGGGCAAACCTGTAACATTTTAAGATTTTTCTTCTATATTTTGTCTCTCCTTCTCTCTGTAACTCTTTTAAGTAAAAATAAATCTTTAAAAAATATGTAATAAAAAATATCATGTAATATAATATAAAAATCTGTTTTGGGAAAATATTTAAACAAAAGACTGATGGGATTAACTAAGATGGTGATAGGAGTTTTACTTTCTGTTTCTAAACTGCAATCATTAAATACATAATTGTTTGCAATAAAAGTAACAAACCGCTCTTTTAAAAAACATGCCACACTGTTGAACTATCAAAACCACTTGAGCAAGACCCTCGGAGCATGCCTCACATCAGGGACATGGATGGGTGGGAGGCTGGGTGGGGCTTCTTTCTTTATCTCCCCCTTTACCCCAGATACAGGAAAAAAAAAAAAGAGAGAGAGAGAATGTGGAAATAATAGTCTTACCCACTTTTCTGTAACCTTTGAACGTTTGTGCCCTAATTAACCATGTGAAAATTGTCCAAAATAAAGGAATATTAAAAACTGAAAACAAACAAAAAAACATACACACAGGAATGGGCCCAGCCTAGTAGCCTATCCTCACTTTGCACACACTGGGATCTCATATGGGCACCAATTCTAATCCTATCAGCCCTGCTTCCCATCCAGCTCCCTGCTTGTGACCTGGGAGAGCAGTCAAGGACGGCCCAAAGCCTTGGGACCCTGCACTTGCATGGGAGACCAGGAAGAGGCTATGGGCTGCTGGCTTCAGATCAGCTCAGCTCCGGCCGTTGTGGTCACTTGGGAGTGAACCATCAGATGGAAGATCTCTCTCTCCTCCTCTCTCTAAATCTGCCTTTCCAATAAAAATAAATAAATCTTTTAAAAATACAAGGTAGTACAAAGGATTTTATTATAAGGATCTCTGAAAACTATTCCTCAATGTGGTTTTTTGGACATTTTCAGAACACTTCATTTCACTGAAGACAAAGGGTAAAATATGAGCAGGGGCATACCACCCAAGTATCAGCTATTACATCATTATGTAAAATTTACCATGTAGCTGCTAAAACATGTAAGAAAATTTCATACATCTCTAAGATTACCAAAAAACATACTTTGCACACATATTCTATGTGGACCTAACTACAAGTTTTGTCAAACATGACACATTCAATTTCTTGTATCACCATGCAATGTAAAATGAATGAAAGATATATTAATTATGAGTGTATTTAAAGCATTAGACAAGTAGATAAAATTTAAAAACATGCCATTATATTTTTCTCTTAATTTACCAAAATACTTACACTCTTTGTATGAATTCTGGAAAAAGAAGTATATGGCGCCAAAAACTTAGAAGATGCATTTTCCTTTGGACATGAAATATGAATGCTTTTCTAGAGAGAAAAAGATAAACTCTATCAATAATGCTACTCCAATGTAATTAAAGACTTTTAAAACACATCAGGATTATAGGCAATCCTCATCTTCTACAGCATAGTTTCTCCAAAACTCCTTTCCCAGGAAATAAAACTATCCCTCCCCCATAGCTTTACAGTTTTTTCAAAGCAGAGTGCTGCAAAATTAATTTGGGATCACAGAAATCCCAATATTTCTTTACAGAGACATAAGTTGTCTTATAGCAAACAGATCAGTGCAAATACAACTGATAAGAATGATGGTATTAATTTTAGACAAAAACCAATTTTCTAACATTCTTAACTAGCAGTGGGAAAGGGAGTAGGATCTTCAGAAAAGTGCATAAAGAGATGTGAGGAAAGTCAGCTCCAGTACTTAATTAAGTCAGAGTCTAAAAGACAAGGTTAAAAGTGAACCTTGGGGTTAGTGCTGTGACGCAGCAGGTTAAACTGATGCCAATAGCCCATATCAAAGTGCTAGTTTAAGTCATGGCTGATAATATGTCTGGGAAGGAAACAGAAAACGGCTCATGTACCTGGGCCTCTGCCACTCACGTGGAAGACACAGATATTCTCCTTGTTTTGGTCTGGCCCAGACCTGGCTGTTGCTGACATTTGGAGAATGAAATAGCAAAATGGAAGACTTCTTTCTATTCTCATAACTTTCTCCCTGTCACTCTGCCTTTCAAATAAAATGAAAAGGTTTTTCAACAAATAAGGTTATTTTGGTGTAATATTTTGAGTCCATGTATAATTTCAACATCTTATGTATTTCCCATGAACTTTTAAGACCCTTGGATTTCAATTTTTTGCACCAAAATCTTTTTTTTTAAAGACTTATCTTTTTGTTTGAAAGGCAGAGAGAGAGAGAGAAGGAGAGACAGAGAGAGGACTTCCTATTCACTGGTTGACCCCACAAGTGGCTGCAATGGCCAGAGCTAAGTTAATCTGAAGCTAGTAGCTAGGAGCTTCCTCTATGTCTCCCATGAAGGTGTAGGGGCCCAAGGATCCAAGCCATCCACCATTGTTCTCCCAGGCCACAAACAGGCAGGTGGAGCCAGAAGTGGAGCAGCAGGGACACAAACTAGCACGCAGATGGGACTCTGACACCATAGGCGGAGGCACTGGCCCCTTTCTATCTTATTTTTTTCTACCAACCTTTTTGAAGAACCTTTATATTAGCTGGCATCTCAAAGTGGCATGCATAGATGTAAAAAGCTTGACAAACTTTTTCAGATTGATTCTTACACTTGTCCCCTACTCTGCCAGCTGAACACCAGTATCTACACTTACAGGTTTATCTTCTGTGAAGAGCTGAGGAGTGGTTCTCCCCAAGAGACCCCAAGCTATGACATCTCTGCTACAGCACAACTTCAGAGTCTCTGGAAGTTTTGCAGGACAATGGAAATGTCTTCAATAATCAAGATTTTCTGAGCCTCTTTATAGTCAACAAGCCCAGATCCTCATAATTCACTAGAAAGAATAGTTTCAATGTCCTAATTCTCTCGTCATTGTGAATGAATATCTTGCATCTCAGGTGACCTGTGGCCTTTCTATACACATGGTACTGTCCACCCAGCATATCTATGCCTGGCTGCCTGCAGGCCTTTCACTCAGTGAGTGTTTGCTTCTTAGCGCGTGATAAAGGCCAGATTGCTACAAGAGAGCTGACCTGGATCTGGAACTGCTTACTGTACCAGAAACTAAAGAGTCAGCTAAACTCTCTCGGCTGAATATTCACACCAGCAAGAATGCAAAGAGTTCCCAACCTAGTGCACAGGCCTCTGTATGAATCTGCCTCAGAGGACTTCACTGCTTTAGGACTAATTACACGACAATGTTCAAGAATCAGTGCTTTTCTCCTGCTATGAATCCTGCTAATTAACCTTTAATTTGAAGAAGATAAATGATGAACAACCTCACAATGTACACAATAGACAATCATGCTGTTAATCGAAGTATTATAACAAAACAGACAAAATCCAAGGCGGAAAGTGTGAGCATACCATACTAAGACAAAACTCCAACTTTTTTTTCATTCTCCAGAGTTAGGTATTAAGCATGACAGCTCTACTGTTTAATAGAACAATGCAGCAACATCCAATGGCAATGAGAACGTTCGACCACTAAGCACTTACTGTCTGAACCTACCTAGCAAGTTCATGAAGTAACTAGCAATGGTGTTTGAAGAGATAAGGATTGTAGTCAGGCCTGAGCATGAAGGGAAGAAATACAAATCAAGTACATCCAATTAAAAAAACTGGAGTTAGGAACTGAGATGTAGTATTAAGTCTACAAAGGATTTTCAGGACTCAAGGAGAAAGTGATGTAAAGTCAGCACCCAGGCTGTAGATGGCAACTGAGAAAAATACAAGCTTGCAAGGTGGATTTCAACTTGGCATCATTAGAGCTGGGTTTCAATTCCAACATACAGTTTAACTGTTTTTGATTTATAGGGATTAATTAACTTCTTAGTCTGTTTATTTGCGTAGTGGAAAGTTAAAATGTCAATTCCAGGGGATTGTTACAATAAACAATAACTAACTTTTCTAACTTTTTATTTCATACAAACTAGTCTGATTCCCTTTTCACCACTCTCTTAGAGTCAAAATTTTGTTTTTACGGATAAGGAAACTAAACCTCAGAAATGTTATTTGTCTAAAACACAGCTAATACATGCCAGAATTACCTAAAACTTGGGCTCAGATCTGACATTTTATACAAGAGCTGCTTGTGAAAAACAAACATAAAATATATAACACTCTGGTCTGGCACAGTGGCTCAATAGGATAATCCTCCCCCTTCAAGTACCAGGATTCCATATGGGTGCCAGTTCATGTCCTGGCTGTGCCACTTCCCATTCAGCTTCCTGCTTATGGCCTGGGAAAGCAGCAAAGGATAGCCCAAAGCCTGAGACTCTGCATCTGTATGGGAGACCTGGAAAAAGATCCTTGCTCCTTACATCAGAGGATTGGCTCAGCTCAGGCCACTGTGAACATCTGGGCAGTGAACCAGTGGATGAAAGATCTTTCTTTCTTTCAATATGCCTTTCTTTCTTTCTTTCAAAACTAAGTCTTTAAAAAGATATATAATATAATGTACATATACACACACACATAAAAAATTCAGCCTATATCCTTGTAAACAAGTTATGAACATTTGCTAAAAGTTTTGTGTAAAAGCAAAGTATTCTTTATTATTTTTTTTCATATTTACCTAATTTAAAGGCAGGATTACAAAGACAGAGAGGGAGAGAGTATGGGAGAGTCTTTCAGCTTCTTGTTTACTCCTCAGATGGCTGCAACAGCCAAGGTTGGACCAGGCTGAAGCCAGAAACCAGGAGCGTCTTCCATGTCTCCCACATGGGTACCCCAAGAACTGTGGTCATCTCCCACTGATTTCCCAGGCTCATTAACAGGGAGCTAGAGTGGAAGTGGAGTAGCTAGGACCCCATTTGGTGCCAATACGGGATACCTTACTCAGCACGCTACAATGCCAGCCCCTATTTTTGTTAGTAAACTCAAAATACTTTTCAACTGAGCCAATGTGGTAGTTAAATGAGTTAAGCCACCAACTATGTTGCAGGCATCTCATATGAGCACTGGTTTAAGTCCTGGGTGCTCCACATCCAATTCAGTTCCTTGTTCATGTACCTGGGAGAGGAGTGGAAGATACCCCTATTGCTTGAACCCCCACATCCATTTGGGAAACCAGATGGAGTTAAAGGCTCCTGCTTTACCCTGGCCTAGCACTGTCTGTTGTGCTCATTTGGGGAAAGAACCGACAGATGGAAGATGTCTCTGTCTATCTCTCATTTTTCCCCTGCAACTCTGCCTTTCAAATAAATAAATACATCTTAAAGAAAGAAAAAAAAAACCTTTACAATTAAAAATCACAAGGAAAAAAAAAACAAAACAAAGTGTGGTTCACCCTTTGTGAAACATCTCACCAATGCAAACTGACTTGAGCAGTCAGAGTGAACAGACAGGCAGATCATGGGCTCTAACAACATGTAGTATAGCCATCAATTTCACTTAAATGAGAAAACTGATATGTACTATTAGCGCAAGCTTTTCACTAATATCTAGCCAGACACAGACTAACAGACAATACTGTCCCATAGCCTACAGAACATCTGAAATGCAGCAACTACAAAGTAACTGAATTTTTAATTTTTAAAAGATGTATTTGTTTTTATTTGAATGGCAGATTTACAGAGTGAAGAAGAGCAAGAGATTCTTCATCTGCTGTTCATTCCCCAGATGGCTGCAATGACCTCAGATGAGTTGATCTGAAGCCAGGAGCCCCAGCTGGGTCTCCCATGTGAGTGGAGGGGTCGAAGGCCCTGAGCCATCCTCCACTGCTTTCCCAGGCCATTAGCATGGAGCTGGATGAGAAACGAAGAAAACAGGACAAAAACCAGTGTCCATACAGGATACCAGTGCTAGCAGGAAGTTGATCAACCTGTTGAGCCACAGTGCCAGTCCCTGAATTTTTTATTTTATTTAACCCTAAAGTTTAATTTAAACACTGATACTTTGTTCAATTAACGCAAAAACTTTAGGCATGTTTGGAACTATTTAGATATGTGAATCCATGCTTTTGATTATAAATTTAACATAGATCAAGTATTTCCAATAAAATATTACAGTTTGAATTGAGACATGCTTCAAGTACAAATTAAACTAGGAATCTGAAGACTTAATGAGAAAAAAAATCTTATTAATTATCTTCGTGACAAATTGAAATAACATTTTAGATACACTTTTTTTTTAAGATTTATTTATTTATTGGAAAGTCAGATATATATAGAGGAGGAGGGACAGAGAGGAAGATCTTCCATCCGATGATTCACTCCCCAAGTGAGGGCAACGGCCAATGCTATGCCGATCCGAAGCCAGGATCCAGGAACCCCCTCGGGGTCTCCCACGTGGGTGCTGGGTCCCAAAGCATTGGGCCATCCTTGACTGCTTTCCCAGGCCACAAGCAAGGAGCTGGATGGGAAATGGGGCTACCGGGATTAGAACTGGCGCCCATATGGGATCCCGTCGTGTGTTCAAGGCGAGGACTTTGGCCACTAGGCCATGCTGCCGGGCCCGATACACTGGTTTTAGTAAGATATGCTATTAAAACAAATCTCAGGGGCCCAGTGCAGTAACCTAGCAGCTAAAGTCCTTGCCTTGAACACACGATGGGATCTCATATGGGTGCTGGTTCTAATTCCGGCAGCTCCACTTCCCATCCAGTTCCCTGCTTCTGGCATGGGAAAGCAGTCAAGGATGGCCTAAAACCTTGGGACCCTGCACCCGTGTGAGAGACTTAGAAGAAGCTCCTGGCTCCTGGGTTAAGACCGACTCAGCTCCGGCTGTTGCGGCCACTTGGGGAGTGAATCATCGGACGGAAGATCTTCCTCTCTGTCTCTCCTCCTCTCTGCAATACAAATAAATAAATCTTAAAAACCAAACAAAACAAAACAAAAAAATCTCAGTATTTTGGCCTCACTTCCAAGAGGAAAAAGAAATGGAACAACAACCACAACAAAAAAATGCTGCAAGCCTGTGCAGCCTGCTCACCGCATGAACTGTGCTCAATGACTAAAGGTGTGACCAAGGATAAGGTCATCAAGAAACTGGTCATCCGAAACACAGTAGAGGCCACTGTCATTAGGGACATCCCCAAAGTATCTATATGGCCTACATGCCTCCCAGACTGTATGTGAAGCCATGTTATGCTGTGAGATATGACACTCACTGCAAAGTTGCCAGAAATCCATCTCCTGCAGCCCAGGAGCAAATACCACCACCCCGATTTAGATCTGCTGGTGCTACCTTATGGCCTCCACCAAGGTCCACGTCAGGAGCTTAGACTGTGAGGGCTGAAGAGAAACCATCCCCCAGGAAAATAAAGGGGAAATTAGTATTTTATTAAAACAATAAGTTCTTGGGGCCAACATGGTGGCACACTGGGCTAATCCTCAGCCCTGTGGTGCTGGCATCCTGTATGGGCACCAGTTTGTGTCCTAGCTCTTCTGTCTCTGATCCATATGGAGATGGATGGCCCAAGTTCCACCCATGTGGGAGACCCAGCAGAAGCTTCTTGTTCCTAGCTTTGGATCAGTTCAGTTCTAGCTGTTATAGACATTTGGGGAATGAAATAGTGGATGGAAGATCTTATGTATCTTTCCCTCTCTCTATAAAATCTGCCTTTCAGATTAAAATAAATAAAACTTGAAAAATTTAATCTACTACTAGAAAAGTTAAAATTACATATGCAGTTCAAATTATCAGTACTTGCATATGTAAGTAGAAGTCTGGATTTAAAAGTTCATCTGTCTGGAGTGGCAAGATTGGCAGCAATGCATAACTGGTGAACTACGGGAACCACTTGAGCAGGGATCTTGGGGCGTGCCCTGCATCCGGGACCTGGGGTGGGTGGGAGACTGGGTGGGGCTTCTCCTCTGTTCCTTTTAACCCTTGTAACTTTTTACCCTTATCAGCAATGTAAAGATTGCCCAAATGAAAAAGTTAAAAAAAAAAAAAGGTCATCTAACTGTAATAGAAAAAAACTTAACATTCAAAGGCAGCAAGAACTATGATTGTACAAACGAACTGGTAATAAAACAGATGGAAAATAACAGTATAAATGTCTAAAGCAGGTACATGGTTCATCATGTATTTAGAAGACATTAAGAACATACCTTATTGATTTCATTCACAATAAACCCTTCTGAAGCTGTAACCTCTGGGATGCCATCCAGGCCAACTCCTTGGCAAGTCAGGCTTCCGTACAAAGATGGCTTCCCTATAGCACATAAAGAACCATACTTTAGAAAAACAATAGAAATTTAAGATTTTTCTCCTTAAAGATACAATTTAGGCATGAAATGCTCAGTTAGGAACCCACCCAACTCCACAAAAATAACTATCTATGTTAAAAAACTATCTATGTTCAAAACTTGCATGTTCCACTTTCTTTTTTTTCGTTCTATTTTATTTTTAATTTTATGATACAATTCTATAGTTTCTGGGATCTCCCTTACACCCTCCGCCAAATTCCTTCCACCAACATATTTTCCCTTTATTATTACATTAGTAATCCTTCATAAACAGTCATAAGTCTATCATTCTGCTATTAAAGTGTATCCTGACATTGCCAGTCATACAACAGCAGATAGTACAGCATCCTATTGTTAAGATATATCCAACATGTTCATTGGGAGTTCATCTTTGATACATACTGCATTGTATCTTCATATCTGGATATGATAGTTTCTACTACACAGTTATTAGACAATCCCTTAAATGAGAAGCCATAAAATAAAATCAACTGCCTGTTCCATTTTTTTTAAGATTTATTTTATTTTTATTGGAAATTCAAATTTTTAGAGAGAAGGAGACACAGAGAGGAAGATCTTCCATCCGCTGGTTCACTCCCCAAGTGGCCACAATGGCCGGAGCTGATCCAATCTGAAACCAGGAGCCAGGAACCTCCTGAGTTCCCCACACAGGTGCAGGGTCCCCAGACTTTGGGCCATTCTCAACTGCTTTCTCAGGGAGTAGCAGTAGAGCAGCATCCAAGTCATGCCCCTGACATTGCCCTGGGAGACTTGGATGAACTGGAACTCCATGCTCCTGGCTACAGCCTGGGCTAGCCCCAGCTCTTGTGAGCATTGGGGTGTGAACTAGCAAATGGAACATCTTTATTTTAGTCTTTTTCTTTCTCTCTGCCACCTTGTCTTTCAAATAAATCTTTAAAAAAAAAAAAAACATAATAAGTAAGAAAATAAGAGTAGGCTAATTAAGTCTCAGCTCCTATCTTTGGCCTAGCCCAGCCCTGGCCACTGTACTCATTTGGAAAGTGAACCAGTGGCTGGGAGCTCTGTCTATTTCTATATAAGTAGATAGAATCTATAAAAAGTATATTTATTTTGGTGTTAAAATTCTATGATCCAAGCATAATTTTGTCATAATCTACATTTTTCCATGATCTTTTAAGACTCCTTCCTATATGTAGATTTCAAACAGGTTTTCTATAAAGGTACAGTGATCATATAACCCACCCCGACCCTTTCTTCTTAAGAATCAGAGACTGCCAGAGAGCTTCCATCTGCTGGTTCACTTATTAAGGTCTATGCAATAGCCAGGACTGGTCCAGGCTGAAGCCCAGAGCTAAGAACTTAACTCAGCTGTACCAAATGGGTGTCAAGGATCCAACTACGTGTGACATCACCTACTGTTTCCCAAGGTCTGCACTGGCAGGAAGCTGGAATTAGGAGCCAAAGCCAGGAATCAAACCCAGGCATTCTAATACGGGACACAGAATCCCAAATGCTGGGCCAAACACTCACCCCCTCCTGGCTTTGTGAGGTGCATTTCTTCAGCAGTGACAACTGAAATGAAAACTAATCACTGAAACAAAAACTAAAGTTTAGGTGGAAGGTTGACTTTATTTTGGAATGGGCCCATGCTGTTTACAAAGTGAACAGTCAGGAATGACACAGGAGTGTCACTCTAAGGAGAAAGTAGGAATATGTGGGAGTATCCTGATGTGGCAGGGTGAAACAACCAGGCTTCTCACTCTGATGCCTAAAAGAATGACAGTAAATTAAGAGATGAGGAAAACCAGGAAGAGAAATCTATTTGCCATGTTGCAAGCTTGGTTCCAGGCTTTAGTAAATCATGTAATTCAAGAGATAACAAGATCTTTTAAGGAGTAGAGTCTATTAGACAACTCATCAGTCTGAAAGTAAAGTAAGGGCTAGAGCTATAGATCTAGGAATCATCATAAGAAAGGTCACAACTGAAATTGTAGAAATTTTAGAAGACAACAATGTGTGATTAAGAGGATGCAGCAATATCTCCATGAAACATTTTCCAATCGAAAAGCAACCAGGGGCCCAGCGCGATGGCGCAGTGGGTAAGGTCCTTGCCTTGCATGCCCGGATCCCATATGGGCACCAGTTCTAATCCCGGCAGCCCCACTTCCCATCCAGCTCCCTGCCTGTGGCCTGGGAAAGCAGTTGAGGATGGCCCAGTGCTTTGGGACCCTGCACCCACGTGGGAGACTCGGAAGAGGCTCCTGGCTTCGGATTGGCTCAGCTCCAGCCGTTGGGTGATGTCAGGATAGCATAGCTGGTCAATCAAGTTTACCACGGGCACTGGGCCATGAGAAAGCAGAGCACTTTGTTGTAGGGGAACTACATATTTCTTCTTTAAAAGGAAAACAAATAAGACTGTGCACGTCACCTTACCTGGAGGATGACAGCTCAGCCAGGCCTCTCCTTCATCCTTCCTATAAGACACACAAATTCCAATTAGGCTAACACAAAGCTGAACAGGATGCCTCTGGCATAACGAGACGGAGGTCATCTAACCTCCAATTTGGCCATAATGAGATGTGACATCCTGCCATCCAGGTATAGATGATTCTAAGAGAGTCAAACTTTGCTGGAGAAAAACTTACACTTCAAGGATTCAGTGCATAGATATTTTCTGGTTACATCAGGTGCCTGAATATTTTTAGCACTAGTGAGTTTACTTCAAAAAACTGGAGTTTTTTATATTCAGATATTTTTGTGGATGATTTTTTTTTAAAGATTTATTTTTATTATTTTTTCATTGGAAAGGCAGATATACAGAGAGGAGAGACAGAGAGGAAGATCTTCCATCCGATGATTCACTCCCCAAGTGAGCGCAACGGCCAATACTATGCCGATCCGAAGCCAGGAGCCTCTTCCGGGTCTCCCACGCGGGTGCAGGGTCCCAAAGCTTTGGGAAGCGGGGCTGCTGGGATTAGAACCGGCGCCCATATGGGATCCCGGGCGTGCAAGGTGAGGACCTTTAACCACTTGCGCCACTGCGCCGGGCCCTTGTGGACGATTTTAAACCAAGGCCTGTAGTGGTCAGTTTTCACATGGTATCATTAATTCCCCAAACCACCAAATAAGATGCCATTTGGTATCTCCACAGTAAGGATTAAAAACAGGGCTCAGTGGTGGGCATACAAGCTACAAGTTGCCAGTCAGGACACCCACATCTGGTATCACAACACCTGGGGTCAATGCCTGCCTCGGGATCCTGACTAGCTTCCGGCCCTGAGAGGCAGCCGTGATACCTCAAGAAACTGGGTTTCATCTTACTCTTAGAGGAGACTTGGTTGGTCCCAGGCTCTCAGCTTGGGTTCTAGCCTACAGGTACTTGGTAATGAATTAACATGTGCGAGCTCCTTCTCTCCCAAGAAATACACAAAATTTGAAAGAGAGAAGTGACTTCCAGAGCCATGCAGTAGGATGATACCTTTGACTGGTATACAACTAGGGCTATGGTCTTCCTGATACCACAATTTTTTTTTCTTATGTTATAATGCATCTCCCCAGTCATCCAAATCCTGCTCTCACAGTCAGGATATGATGCTAAGTTTCTAGGCTTTGAAGATAGAAAGAATGAGGCTGACAGCAACCCTCTACCCTAAGATCTTGGATGAATTACACCCTGATTCTGATCCTGCAAAATTCACAGGTAACTGGCAGCATTTCATCAATGTGACTATTCCTCCTTTTTTTTTAAAAAAAAAAAAACTACACTCTTTGCTCTAGTAAATAACTTGCTTTTTATTTTAGTCCACCTAGACAGGTGTAGATTTCTTAAATGCTGGAGTTGTTCCATTTATTGCCATCATCATTACTGTTTGCAAAACTTTTGTTAGCAGTAAAAGTCACGTATGGTAATGTTATACTCATCCTGACCGCCTAGTGGATAACTGGCACAGCAAATGATGGTAAAACAAATGCTACAAGACGACTTGGGGCGTAAATGCTTGTAAATACCTGGCGTTCAGTCAGTATTTACTGTAAAGGAACTACTATAGCTAGTGTTGCCGACTTCCAATTTTCTCCAGCTTAAGGAACCCAGCTCTGTTGCAGGGGTCACACAAAGCTTGTGTCCCCTCGGCCTTGGGAAATCTGTCCAGGAAATGAGAATCATCGATCCTACGGGGAGGAGACTTCTGGACTCTGTGCCCTCTAGCTCACGTGATGATGCAATCCCTACAGATATCCTGGACGGGGCATGACTCTACTGGACGCAAGGACAACATCCACTCCCCGCCTCGTGTGCCCCTGTCCTAGGCTCGAATTCACCTGAGGGCTTGAGCCCAGTCGCTCTGAATCCTCAAAGGCACCGCCATCTTGACCCCCGCCTCCACCAAGCCCGCCTCTTCCGCTCCCTCCGGAAGTCCTGACCCCCAAAGGGTGGGGTGACGGCGGTGGGCGGATTCTACGCCGGAGACGCCACCAATGAAAGTGTGCTGTGCGTCCTCCCCGGCCCTTCCGGGCGCGCGCGCGCCTCACGATGAGGGCTGGCCCGAGGAGCAGGAAGGACGCTCGGCGCGTGTGCCGTTCTGACGTGTTCGGTGAGCTCTGCATACCGCGTACCGGCGCGGGAGGCTCTGCGGCGCCTCCTGAGCCCAGGCTGCCGTGAAGCCTTAGCTTTCTCTGGCCTGGCCGTGCCGACTTACCCCCTTCACCCGCCAACTGTTTAACTCCGCACTCATCTCTTAAGTGGGAGTCCTCATTTCTTTCCAAGGGAAACTGAAGCGAGGATGGGGTCGGGAGAACATTTCTGGAATCTTCTTAAAACCCAAGTAGTTTTCTTTGGTTATACTCTTAAGCTCTGATGTTGAGATTTAAATGCTTGGAAAGACCTCTCAGATCTTTGGAGTTAGGTACCAGGGCACTTTCCGCCGTTGTGGCTCTTTAAGAAAACTTGGGCCAAACGTTGAAAGATGAGAAGAGCTCACAGCAAATTGAGGAAAAGGCAACAAATACACTGACAAGAACAGTGATTTAATGATTATTTTGGACGAACCATTGTGCTCACCAGAGATTAGAAATTACTTGGCACTGGGTGAGCCAGTGACACAGCATAACATGGCCTGCCAAGCACCTATGGTCACTCGCCAGTGTGACACAGCGCCAGTGTCTGTTACAGGTTTGTTTATTTGAAAGACAATGTGACAGAGATGTCATCCACTGCGTCACTCCCCAGATACCCCCGGCACCTGGGGCTGACCCGGGCTGAAACCAGGAGCCCAGAAAGCTCCACTGAGGTCTGCACAGGCAGGGACACAAGTACTTGAGCTTCTGCTGTCTGCTGCCTCCCAGGTTGCAGGTTAGCCGGAAGCAATGGCAGGACGCAGACCTGCGGGCATTTCAAGCAGAAGCTTCATCCACGGCCATAACACCTGCCCCACCAGTTTCTGGTGCTGGCATGTTTTATGTGTGTGGGGGGGATGTATATACACACATACTATATACATATATAGTATATACTTATACACTAGTATACATATATACTATATATGTATATAGTATGTGTGTGTTTAGTATATATATATATGTATATAATATTTGTGTGTGCATATATATATATAACACAAATCTTGAGCAAGAAGACAAAGATCTTTGGTCTTCCATTTTCTGGCTTCACTACCCAGAAACCCACAGCATCCATAGCTGGGCTAGTCCGAAGCCAGGAGTCTCGAACTCCATGCTGATCTCCCACATGAGTGACAGGGGTCCACATACTTGAGCCATCTTCCATTGCTTTCTCAGGCTCATTAGCAGGGAGCTGCATCAAAAATGGAGCAGCCAGGACTTGAACTGGCACTCCCATGAGATGCCACTGTCATGGATAGTGGCTTAACCCTGCTGTGCCACAGTGTTGACCCCCATTTTTTTTGTTCTTATTCTTCTGTAATCATTTTTTATTTGTGATGTGAGTAGTCCATTTATTTTAGGATTATTTATTTGAAAGGCAGAACATGAGAGAGAAATCTTCAATCTGCTACTACATTCTTTAAATAGACACAACAGCTGGGCCTGAGCTTGGCTGAACCCAGAAGTTCCATCTTGGTCTCTCAAGTGGGTGACTGAGATTCAAGTATTTGGACCATCATCCATTGCCTTTCCTAGAACAAGCAGGAAGGTGGATGAGAAGCAGTCAGGACTCAGCGCTGGCACTCCAATGTGGGATGTCAGTCATGCCAGCATCTGCTGTGCTACAATGCTGATAGTTCATGGCCATAAGTAGTTTTTCCATTTTCCATTTCTGGCAAATTTCTATTTATCTTTCTAGTTTCAGCTTAAAAATCACTGCTTCTAGGAAGTTCTCCTTGACTATTTCTGCTATTAATCTAGATTAAATAACTTTCACTGTACGGTGCATTTTTGCTGTCTGTGTCCAGTGTGTAGTAAACTGCCTGTTTGCTTGTTTATGTGGTAACCTCTATGCCGGCAGAAAGTCTTATCAGTCGTGGCCACCCCTGCAACCTCAGCTCTGATTATCATGATAGGTGCTCATTGGTTGTTTGTTCTTAAAGATTTAATCAATTGGCAGAGAGTTCTTCCATCTACTATTTATTTTAAAGATTTATTTATTGTTATTAGGCAAATTCACAGAGAGAAGGAGAGACAGAACTTGCCTCCAATGGTTTACCACAACAGTTGAAGCTGAGCTGATCCAAAGACAACCTGGAGCTTCTTCCAGGTCTCCCATATGGATACAGTATCCCAAGGACCTGGGCCATCCTCCACTGCCTTCCCAAGTCACAAACAGGAAGCTGGATTAGAATTGGAGAGGCCAAGACCTGAGCTGTTGCCTAAATAGGCTGCCACACTTGGAGGTAGAAAATTAACCAGTTAAGCCATTGCACGTGCCACCATCCACTGTTTCACTTCCACAAATGGCTGCAAGGGCCAGGCAGAGGCCAGGAGTCAGGAACTTCATGTGGATCTCTTGTGGGTAGTAGGGATTCAATTACTGGGAGCTGGACATGGGGAAAGCCAGAACTTGCGATCATATGGGATGTCAGTGTTGCAAGTGGCAGCTTAACACACTGTACCACAATGCCAGTCCAGGTCATCTGTTGAACGAAAGAGACACAGGAAAGGCACAAAAGAATTTTGGGGATTGGCCTTGTGACACCATAGGTTAAGCTGCCAACCCCCCCCCAACTCCCACAGTGCCAGCATCCCATATGGGTGCTGCTTTGGGACCCAGCTGCTCCGCTTCTCATCCAACTCCATGCTGATGGCCTGGTAAAGCAGTGCAAAATGGCCCAAGTGCTTGGGCCCTTGCATCCTTGCTCAACACCCAGAAGCAGCTCTGGACTCCTGGCTTTGGATTGGCACAGCAGTGGCCATTGTGGCCATTTGGGGAGTTAACCAGCAAATGGAAGATTTCTATTTCTGTCTTTCTCTCCCACTCTCCTTGTAACTTTTACCTTTCAAATAAATGAATACATCTTTTTTTTTTTTTTTATTATTATTTTTTCATTGGAAAGGCGGATATACAGAGAGGAGAGACAGAGAGGAAGATCTTCCATCCGATGATTCACTCCCCAAGTGAGCGCAACGGGCCGATACTATGCCGATCCGAAGCCAGGAGCCTCTTCCGGGTCTCCCACGCGGGTGCAGGTTCCCAAAGCCTTGGGCCGTCCTCAACTGCTTTCCCAGGCCACAAGCAGGGAGCTGGAAGGGAAGCGGGGCTGCCGGGATTAGAACCGGCGCCCATATGGGATCCCGGGCGTGCAAGGCGAGGACTTAACCACTTGCGCCACCGCGCCGGGCCCAAATGAATACATCTTTAAAGAAAATTCTTTTTAGTTCCTTTATAGTCTGTCATGGTAAAATGTATACAAACTGAAGTTACTTCTGTACAAATTTCTTAACTTGCTTTCGTATGTTTCCTCCTGCTGGGTACTCTGAAGCAAGCGATCTTGGAAAGACAGTCTAGGCAGCTCACAGTTCCGTGTGATTGACAAAGCCATTTCACTTTGACCCTGGCCTCACACACTGCCTACAGCCTCATTGAAGTCTTTCTTGTCCTCCCGTGTGTCAAAACCTACCACTATGTGGGTACTCTCCCAAGTATTAAATCTTATCCCCTCAGGACAGAATCAAGCCAGTAGAAGAAAATTAATCCCTTTGAAGAATTATTCATGTATTTGAAAGGCATATTGTTAGAGACAGGGAGAGGAAGAGATCATTCACTGATTTACTCCCCAAATGATTACAATATCTGGGATGGGCCTTGTTAAAGCCAGAAACCAGGAATTCCATGCAGGTCACCCATGTGGCTGGCAGGGGGCGCAAGCCCGCAGGCTGTGATATGGTACCTTCCCTGGAACAAAAGCTGGGTCCGAAGCAGAATAACTGGGGTTTGTGGTTGTTGTTATTTTTTGTTTGTTTGTTTTTTGTATTTGGTTTTTTGTTTTTGTTTTGTGTAGAAGCGGAATAACTAGGACCTAAACCAGCACACTAACAGGGGTTTCTGGCACCAGGAATGGCAGCTTAGCCCACTGCAGCACAAAGGCAGCCCCCCCCTCCCAATTTTTTTTTTTTAAGATTTTTTACAGGAAAGGCAGATATAAGAATAGAAGGAGATAGAAACAGATCTGTCTGCTGGTTCATTCCCCAAGTGCCCGCAATGGCTGGAGCTGAGCTCATGCAAAGCTAGGAGCCAGGAGCATCTTCCAGGTCTCCCGCATGAGTGCAGGGTCCCAAGGCTTTAGTCCACTCTCGACTACTTTCCCAGGCCACAAGCAGGGAGCTGGAAGGGAAGTGTAGCAGCCAGGACACAAACCGTCGCCCATATGGGATCCGGGCAGATGCAAGGCAAGGATTTACCCACTAGGCTATTGCACTAGGCCCCAAAATCTTTTGAGGTATGTGAAACATGGTTTCACCAAAAAGATGACCTTTTGCTTAATTCAGAGTGCATTAGCAAAATCTATTGAGCTCATCGAGTACTATGTTAAAAAGCATTCATACATACTTTATCTCATTCACTTCAAACTGTGTTTCAAAGCCTGCTGTCTGCCCTGCTTAGAGCTGGGGGTAACAAGATAAATCAAGCTCAGTATTTGTCCTGCTGGAGCTTACAGTGTGCTGGAGAGAACACACATCCACAAGCAATGACAGTCACTCTGCAGCAGTCTTATGTGTAATCATAACTTCATGTTTGTGGATGTTCTGTAGACTCCCTGAGATGTCATCGTCAGTGCCTCAGGGCCACACCTGGGCCCGCCAGGTGAAGAAGAAGGATGAGGAAGAGGACCTGCTGGACCTGATGATCTCCAGCTCTGGCTGTGCTGCCTCCCACTTTGCAGTGCAGGAGTGCATGGCCCAGCACCAGGATTGGCGGCAGTGCCAGGCTCAGGTGCAGGCCTTCCGGGATTGCATGACTGAACAGCAGGCAAGACGGCAGGAGGAGCTGCAGAAGAAGAAAAAGCAGGCCAGTGCTGACCACTGAGACCGCAAGCCACCTGTCCCCAGAGGAAGAAGTCCTGAATGGTGGAAGTGTGGACCAGGAGCTGTGAAACTTGGGGATGGTCTTTGGGACTGGGGTTGACAGCATGAGACCGTGGAGTTGGGCATGTCTGCCACAAAGAGCTGTCATAGTTCTGTGCAGGTCAGATCCTGCACATCCTTGCCCTTCTTGTTCTACCAGCATTTTTCTTGTATAGCAAGGAGTAAAGTAAGGTATACTTCCAACCCCACATCTTGGGTCAGTATGACACGTTCTGACAAGATTACAGTATCATTTTAATTTTTAAAATTCACAATCTAAGAATTAGTTGGTAACCTTATCAGATCTTCCATTACTGAGTGACAAACTCAGTGACAGCACATATTTCTGAGCCGTTGTGTTGGACATACATGTGCTGAATAATGTGACCTTTGACCTCAGGTAATTTAGAGTAATTTGGAGTAATGAAAATAAAAGAGCGTTGTCCCAACTAATTCCTGTCGATGATAAGAGTTTGCTTTCTTCCCTTGTTCTGGATGTTTCATGCACATTAATGGAAAAGAAGAAAGAAGAAAAAAAGAAGAAAGCCAGTAGTGAATTTTTATTCAACAGCTATTGAATACCTGTTCCATGCCAGAATACTGACTTCAACCTGCTCTCCACCTAGCAAACATAAAAATCTATTTAACTTTATTGGAGGGCCCAGCGCAGTGCCTAGTGGCTAAAGTCCTTTCCTTGCATGTGTCGGCATCCCATATTATTAATCCAGTCTACTAATCTATGACGTTTGATTGAGCTTAAGCCATTTACATTCAGAGTTTAATATGTATGGATGGTACTTTGATCCTGTCATTTTAGGAATGGGTTGTTCATTGGTTTAGTCTTTTGTTCTCATTTTACTGGGATGTTCTTCCCGTTTGCCTTTGGTTTTGGTAGGTGCTATTCCTCTTCTCTGTCAAGAGAACATCTTGAAGTATCATTTGTAGGGCAGGTTTGGAAGAGGCAAATTCTTTTAGCTTTTCTTTACTGTGGAAGAATTTTATTTCATTTTCAAAGATGAAAGAAAGCTTTGCTGGATATGTTATCCTAGGCTGACAATTTTTTTCTTTTAGATTATGGCATATGTCACTCCATTCTCTTCTTGCCTGTAGAGTTTCCTGTGAGAGATCTCCTGTGAGCTTAATGGCATTCCTTTATATGTCAGTTGATTTTTTTCACATGCACATTTAAGGATCTTTTCCTTATGTTCAATTGAAGAAAGCTTGATGATCATGTGTCTTGGTGAAGATTGCTTTTGATCAAGCCTGTTGGGAGTTCTGTACCCCTCATGGATGTTTCCCAATTCTTTCTCTAAATTAGGGAAAATTTCCTATTTTTCATTAAATATATCTGTAAAACAAGTTTCTCTTTCTGTACCTTCTGGGACTCCCATAACTCTTATATTTGGTCTCTTAATAGTGTCTTTGAATTCTTGAATACTTTTTTGGCCTGATCCAGCTCTGCTTCCAGCTTTTTGTTTGCTTCCCCTTGATGACAGGAAATATCTTCCAATTCTGAGATTCTTTCTTCTGCGTCCTTCATTCTATTTTGGAGACTCTTGATTGTACTTTTAATTTGCTGTACTGTGTTCTTAATTTCTGATATATCAGCCTTGATTTGCTTTATTGCTTCCTTAAGTTCTTTGAACTCTTGTATGTGCTTCTCATTTTTTATCAGAAGCTTTAAAATAAGTTTTATGAATTCTGTGTGCTCTTTTTTCTCGATGTCTTCCTCAGTTAACTCTGAGGTTGGCATAGGGTTTTGCTCCTTTGCAGGGGAGTTTTCAGTAATATTCATTGTGCCTTTGTCTCTTCTTTTGCTCTTTGTCATTGTACTTCTGGTTAGCAGAGTCTTCTTCTTGGGGCAGGTTTCTAAGCTGTGTGACCCACAGGTCTACAATGCGATTTTACTTACTGCAGTTGGTACACAACTTTTTGTTTGCAGCCACTTGTGCCACAACCTCCAGCAAGTTCCAGGTATGGCTTCTTATCTCAGTTTTCCACCGTGGTCTCCACAGCCCCAGCTCCTGGCTCACCACTCTCCACCTCCTGTGATACCATGCTGAGGCTGCACCATTGTCTCTGCAACCTTTCTCCCACGTCTGGTTGGAGCAGGTCCCAGGATTAGAGAGACACCAAGTGTCCTATATAATTAGGTTGTTGGTGGCGCTGATCTTGTTGGAACCTGTTGGATGTTAGGTCTGGGTGCCACACGGACCTATTTTGACCAGTATGATGCCACAGTCGGTATTATTTTCCTGTGGGACCAGTGCAATCCACAGAACTCAGTGAGTTCTCACGAACTCAGCCCATGCGCAGTTCACTGTTGTCCCCTGCAGTTCTAAAGCTTTTGCCACAGTGTGGAAAATGGCGCTTGACGTACCACTATTAGAATTCTTGATCTGCTGGCCGTCAGATCTGAGGGCTACCCAGACCTATCTTGGGTGGAACCTGTAGAATGCCACATTGATGCAGTCCACTGAGTCAGAAGTGAGTTCACTCCCAGCTCTGTGTATGCTCAGTCCTTTCCCTTACCTTTATCTCCTTACACAAAATGGTGCCCAATTTGGCTCTAGGGAGCTGACTGGGCTGTGAAATTCACCCTGTTCTCGCACTCTCTGGGATCTGCTGCTCTGTCTTTGCTCCTGGTCAAATCAAACAGACCAGCAGGATGGACCGTTCTTTGTCCTGGTTTACCTCCCAAGCTCCCAGTGAAAGTCCCTTCCTACCTGGTTGCTGGTGGAGTTCCGGCTGCTGGTGGAGTTCAGATTGCTGTTAGCTGAATGCCACTGGGGTATCAGTCACTGCAACACCACACCATTGTTTTTGCTGCTTTCCTGTGTCTGTCAGTCTCCAGGTACCCCTCTGTTGTTGTTCTGTCCTCTCCTATTTCCTGGAATGTGTCTTCTCTGCTTCATCCTGATTAAATGTTTTTCCATCTGTTTAAACGTGTCCTTACCCTATACCGACATCTTGATTCTCCGGAATCCCATATTCTTAATTCAGAGTGGATTAGCAAAATCTATTGAGCTCATCGAGTACTATGTTAATAAGATTTCACACGCACTTTATCTCATTCACTTCACTTCAAACCGTGTTTCAAAACCTGCTGTCTGCCCTGCTTAGAGCTGTGGGTACCAAGATAAATCAGGCTCAGTATTTGTCCTGCTGGAGCTTACAGTATGCTAGAGAGAACACAAATCCAGTTCGTGTCCTGGCTGCTCCAGTTTCCTTCCAGCTCCCTGTTTGTGGCCTGGGAAAGCAGTTGAGAACAGCCAAAGCCTTGGGAACCTGCACCTACACAAGAGACCTGGAAGAGGCTCCTGGCTCCTGGCTTCGGATTGGCTCAGCTCCAGCCATTGTAGCCACTTGTGGAGTGAACCAGCAGATAGAACATTTTCCTGTTTCTCCTCTTTGGAAATCTGCCTTTCCAATAAAAATAAATACATCTTTTATTTATTTTTAAAGATGTATTTGTTTTTATTGTAAAGTGAGATATAGAGAGCAAGGCAAGGACTTTAGCCACTAAGCTACCACATAGGACCCCAAAAATAAATAAATCTTTAAAAAAAAAGATTTTGAAGGCAGGCATTTTGCACAGTGGTTAAGACTCTAAGTGGGAGCACCGCATTCCATATTGGAGTCCCAGCTCTACTTCCAATTCTGGCTTGTTGCTGATACGTGCCCTGAGAGGCAGGGGCTGACACCCAGGTCATTGGGTGCTTGCATCCACACAGGAGACCCAAAGGAGCTCCAGACTTCTGGCTTCAGCCTGGCTTAGCCCTGGGTGTTGCAGGCAATTGGGAAGTGGATTAATGGATGGAAGACTCATATCTGTGTGTTTCTCTTTCAAATTAAAAAAAGTTTGCAGAAAATTGGGTTAGAAGTTTGTCAAATACATACAACGTTCACCTATGAAAACAGAAGCTGTCGGCATGCAGCTCATTTTCCCTCCTGACCACAGTTTTCCAGAACTGAATGATACTGCCTGTTTTAAAGAGGTTATGTTCTTCATGACCATTGTCATCATTTCTCATTTTCCTTCAGTGAAACTACCCTTTCCATTCCTAAGCACTTTTCAGGAGGTTGGTCGGTTGCCATAGAAACTGAAGTGGAAGGGTTCACATGTTCCTCATCAGTGACAAACTTTTTGAAGATGTACTTTTTTTTTTTTTAAAGATTTGTTTTATTGTTATTGGAAAGGCAGATATACAGAGAGGAGAGACAGAGAGGAAGATCTTCCGTCCGATGATTCACTCCCCAAGTGAGCGCAACGGCTGGGGCTGAGCCAATCCGAAGCCTGGAGCCTCCTCCGGGTCTCCCATGTGGGTGCAGGGTCCCAAAGCTTTGGGCCGTCCACAACTGCTTTCCCAGGCCACAAGCAGGATCTGGATGGGAAGTGGGGCTGTTGGGATTAGAACCGGCGCCCATATGGGATCGTGGCATGTGCAAGGCGAGGACCTTAACCACTGCACCATCGTGCCAGGCCCCAGATGTACTTATTTGAACATCTGAGTTACATTGAGATCTTTCTGCTGGTTCACTCCCCAAATGTCCACAGCACCCGGGGATGCAGCCAGGCACTTCTTCTGTGTCTCCTGCGTGGGTAGCTGGGGCCAGTCATTTGTGCCATCTGTTACTGCTTTTCCAGGCCAAAGTGGAGCATTCAGGACACAAACCAGCATACATATGGAATGCCAACATCACCACAACAACTGCCATACCACAAAACCCACCCTGACAGATTTCTTGAGTCCACGTCCAAAGTATAGGAGCCTTAAAATCTAGTTTGAATGTTTGTGCTGGCATTTGGGAAGAGAAAACAGAAGATAAGAGAAGTTTAGAAGTGAGCGTTTTTCCTGGTTCTTCCATACCAGAATATTGGGGCTAAGTGCCAGGCTCCTGCTCTTAATTCCAGCTTCCGGTTACCACAGACCTTGGGGAAAAAAATCAATGACAATGACTCAAGTCTGGATTCTTATCAACCACATGGGAGAACTGGATTTAGTGACTGGCTCCCTGGCCTTTACAGGCATTTAGGAAATGAACCAGCTGACAGGAGCCTTCTGTCTGCCTCTCAAAAATTAAAAAAAAAAAAAAAAAGTTGCAGTGACATCCTATTTCAGATGAAGAAGATGACATAAAGGTGAATATGAGCCCAGGGGTTCTCAGTACTTTGAGGTCATGAGTGTGAGCAAGCTGTGTGCCCAGAAGCTGTCAGCAAGAGGCTCAAAGCAAAGAGGAATAGTTGAGTTAAACCTTGAAAAACGAAGTAGGCATCACTTACATGTAAGATACAACAAAAAGGATCTGCAGCAAAAGTACTCAACTTTTTTTAAGGTTTTCAAAAAACTTTTTTTTTAGTATCTTCTGTTTAATTGAAAGGCAGAATTACACAGAGAAGGAAGGACAGAGAATTTCCAACATGGTTCACTCACCAAATGGCCACAACTGCT